CTCGGAGTCGGTGAAACACTCGAGTGAGCGAAGTCACAACGGCCATAGATGGCTTTGTGGTCGAGAGAGTACAGAGAAAAAGAGAGGATCGTTCAAAGGGATTTAGTTCAAATTGTCCGTAGACCATAACAACCGAAACGATTAGACAGGAATTGAAGCTCGAGATTCATTGTACGATATTGATATTTCGCAACATTAGAAGGAGTCTGGCCGGTAACCTAAAAAAGGGGATGCATTGATGACGAGGCTTCTCCTCATCGGAAAAGCAGGAAAAACAAATACAACAGCGAAAAAGAATGTCGCCCGCTACCGACACCGGTACTGAAGTGAAGAAGAAATTGTTATCAGAATGAACCGAAGAGACGATTATGTGCCGTAGGCGTTACCGGTAGTGAGTACATTCTGGTAAAGGTCATTGTGACCTCACATATCCAGTTTTCACACATGATAAGTGGCTCACCCACCCTGGAGTCCCCTCCCCTTGAAAAATCCCGCTTCCTGGCTCGCCATACGTTTTTGGCACGTTTCGATGCTTTGGCAGCCGCTGCCCTCTATCCGTCTGCGTCACAGGGTTTCGTAACAGGACCGCCAACAAAAGTTCAAGATGTCACGTAACCGAAGCTGGAACGGCTCTCGACGAATCACGGAGAAGCAAGGGCGCGCGATTTCGTCTTTGCTTGGGGTACCGTAGCAATGTCGGTGAGGAGAGCTGACCTATAACCTACCAACGGTGGCATACTGACCCAGTGCGACACAGAGGTCGTTTTAAGGCACATGCCACAGTTGCACCGCTTATTCTCATTAGTGACTCTCTCTAAAAGAACGAAAGGGTGCACCTTGCGGTCTTTGACTGGACCCGCCGCTGTTTTTTAAGCAATGATCTGAACGCACAAGTAATGGTAGCACACCAATGAGGAATGCGCGAGGGAGTTCCATGTGGTCCATTTATGTGATCTGCGCGAAATGTTGTTTATCAGAACCGCCTGTGGAGAATAAGGGCAATTGTTTGAACCCGAGCTGCCGCCCAAGTTATAGTGTAAACCAGATACACGTTCAGATGCTCTAATTCTGCATGGAAATCAAATAGCTATCCCCATGAGAATCGATCTGTGCCGGTTCCTCCATCGCTGGCATTAATTCCAAAGGTAATTGCTGTTTATCATCATCATACTAGGAGACGAAAGGGATTTCTGTATATCTACAGAAATAGAATCAGCTTTGGACATGTTTTCATATAGAAATTCCTTTCCTGACTCATATCAATTGAAAGCTCCTTTCAAATGAATCACTTTTCATCTTGAAATACCTTGACCGACTAATAGCTAAATGACTCAAGCTATATTTTGTCTTTCTGCTGTAAATTGCCTCGAATATTAGAAAAATGTTATTGCCATGACTTCAACACGCATCATTTTCTGTTCCTATAAAAGCTTGTGAGAATTAACGTTGACGGCTTTCACCCAATAAATGTTCTGAGCGGAAGTGTTTCCCCGTTCTGGACAAAGTGGCGACCACGGCAGGATTCGAACCTGCAATCTTCTGCTAGTCCTGCTAGGGCCCACGCCCACTTCGATCTCACCTTCTGTCCATTCACAGTGACAGCCGGTGCTCCACCAGTTGTCGCCCACAATGCAGGATCTGCCACGTATTCGTCGAATGTCAGGGGGTACATGCTTCCACTTCTTTCCCACTCATCTCCGATCTTCTCAAGCTTTTGCAACACCCAGTCGCGTATCACTTCACCCGAAGCCCACACCTTCCCACTGGGTCCAACCCAGTCATCGAGCGTCTGAATGAGCTCAGGTTTCTTCCATGCGAGAGATGGCATACACCTGTCCAATCCCCCTATAACAGAGGCGGATGGACACCCTGCCAAGCTGCCGCTCTCAATGCTGTCAGTTAGTTTCTTCAAAACGAAGTACAGTGCATCTTGGGTGCGAGATCTTTCATGAGCTGCCCAAAGAATGAGAGACTTTCACGTCGATCGATTACTTTAACCCCAGGAGCATACCTGGTTAAAAAAACAGAGCGCACATAGCGAACGCGAGTCAATCGTCGTACTGCGCTGACACTCCGTCTGACCTCGAGATCATCGACTTGTCAGAGGATGTCAGAAGCGCAAAAAGAACTGACGAGCAAGCTCGCAATTCACTTGGGGCTGAGTGGACTGCGCTCTCAAGACGAGGTCAAAGAGGCAGCAGAGTCGCTAGTTCTCTTCCGGGGTCAGTACGCCAAGGCTGCAGGCCTGACGATGGAGAGAGCGTTACCAGTGACACCGTTGATAGCGATGGGATTTCAGGCCGTACCGCATCGGTTTTTCGGCGAGTCCGTACTTGGGTTGAGAACGTGTTACGCCACTCTCGATCAGGCGAAACACTGCGCTCTGGCTTCTACTATCCATTCAACAGTGACCTCTTATCAGACATTGAAGATCACGAGACCATCCGGAGACACTGGCGAGCACATACCAGCTCCATGGATCTCCGCGATGCGAGTGATGATTACGCAGACTTCTCGAACACACCAGCCCGTCGCTACTACGTAGTTTGGCGACGTTTACGACGTGGCATTACATACAACAGATTCCAGTCAAATCTCGGGAGCTATGCTCAACCTAGTAACAGCAGCGGGCCGAGTAGACAACGCAGCGATCTACAACATCATTAAGATGCGCAGCGCAGTGACCGGGGTCTCGTTCGAGGAAGCAGCCCCAGCCAGGCTTTGTTTGATGCGAAAATCTTGGCCAGGTGGGTTGATCTGCTCTCAGATCCGAGAATCAGCAATTCCCAGATACGAAGATATCGAAATGGACTCGATTTGTTCAGCCCACGAAGCCGACGAAATTCAAGAGACCGAAGATCGAGATGGTAGTGACCACTTTAGACGAGTTCGTAGCCATCAAAACCCAGGATCGTCCGATCACTGGGTGGTCCGGCGTTTCGAATGCGACGTTCAATGCCCTTGTGAGTGTCATACCGATCGCTGCAAACGAATTGACGACAGTGCTTTTTGGCTGTACGTTATGAGCTTTCTGGACACGAGGGTATGGCAAGGGCTCTCAAAATACATCACCATTGGGAGACTGAACATGGGGCTGATCGACCAGTCGAAAGCAAAGGAGCTCAAGTACACCGACGAGTCTCAGTTTGATGTGGTTCTGGCCCCGTATTCCGACACCGTGCTTATTCCCGGGCCAAGAAAAATCCTAATTGTCATCATCGATGCATCATCGAAATCAGATGCACAGAGTCCGGCTATCTCAACACAATCTTCTTTCATGTTCGACACTCCATCAGTCACTACCAACTGCATCGCCGTCTGCCCCGGAGGGACCGTGAACTTCACGATCAAAGGATCGCTGGCTTTCGTCAACGAAAGGGCCATCTCTTCAGATGTCAGCATCACGAACGTCCAAAGAGAAGTGGAAAGTGATCTATCCTTTGCGAATGATATCTTTGTCACGTTTAAGGACACGATTGTAACGGCTGCGAAAGGTGTAGCCTCTTTCTTCAGTGTATGGGAAATATTTTTTATTCTTCTCCCTATCTTTATAATAGTGACCCTTCTTTTGAAAATCTGCTCGAGAACGCGCCATCATAAGTCGAATTGAACTTTTGCTTGCTGTTGGGAGTCTTTCTGTATCTCTACAGAAATAGAATCAGCTTTGATCATGTTTTCATATAGAAATTCCTTTCCTGACTCATATCAATTGAGGGCTTCTCCCAAATGAATCACTTTTCATCTTGAAATACCTTGACCGACTAATAGCTAAATGACTCAAGCTATATTTTGTCTTTCTGCTGTAAATTGCCTCGAATATTAGAAAAAT